AAACTAATGCTCTGATACCAACTGTGACATCCCCAAAATCACGGCCAGAAAAGACCGGTTTTGTTTATACTTTATTTCAAAATCAGAGTTATCTTTTAATAAAAGGTTGCGGAATTTGTCCCAAAACAATAATATGATAAAGATTTATCAAAAGCATTTCCATAGAAATGTATTTCATTAAAAGACTCGGGATGTCATGTTCGTACAGATCAAAAGTATAAACAGTACAATATAAGCCTTACTACATTATTTCATATCTACAGGCCTATATCCGTAATCCCTCGTCCAAAACATCACACCTATGCTCATGCGCCACTACCTGTAACATAAAACTGAGTGGGTCAGGCTTGGGAGCCTGGTGAGCACATAGGGTTTTCAACCCACAATAAATAAGTTTATTAATTTCATCAATCAACAATAACCCGATTACCCGTTCCCGTTATCCTCACTTTACGTCCCTAAACACCTATCATAAGGGACCTAGCCTAAGGATCATCATCGGGACGACACTACTGCTAAGGGGATTCCTCAGCAATAAATGTCCTAATAGGCAACCATGTGGGGGATGGAGTACACCGGTGAACACATCGTTCACAACACCTACAGGTTGCGAGCCTGCTAGTGTTCCACTGGACTGTCTAGAAGAGTCCGTGGTCGTCATCTATACTCCGCTAGATGACTGGATCAACAACAACAACATCGAGGCCTCTCATCATTTTATCACACATCACCTATTACATCTACCCATGTTTTACCCAACATTTTCGTAGATATAAAATACATATACAGTTTAAATCATTGAAAACATGTATAACAACGTTCATCTAACGTAGATAGCAAGTATTCAGATAATATGCACACATAGCACGTAATTTATATAAAATACTTCATATCTATGTGTAAGCTGAAAGTAACTATGCACTCACCGGAAAAGGTGGTGATTCCGAACTCAGACAGCGCTTCGCTTCTTAAAAAGAATTTTTCTTCGACGAAACCTAGTATTATTACCACTAGAGTTTAGTTTATTATTCGTCGAGACTAATTAATAGTCTAGCTATTATTATTATTATTATATAAGCGTCAAAAAAATACTTATATAACCCATAATAATAGCCCAAGTATTTATTATAAGTTCCTAATAACGTTACTATAATTAAATAAAAGTTATATTAAAAATAGCGTAGGCGTAGCTCACTTACAGCGGTTTTATAGAAAACCGGGCTTTGCTTGGAGCAGCGTTCCCGAGCCGAAAAGCTCTTCTTCTCAGAGCCTTCGAGCACTCCGGGGCTTCCGCCTCGTGCTAGGGAGGTTCCCTAGGCTTTTCGGGGGATTTCGGGGCTAGAGAGAGGTTCTAGAGAGAGAGAGAGAGTAAAGAGAAGAAAGAATGGGAAAGGTGTGAAGAAAATGAGGGTGGGAGAGGTGGTATTTATAGGGTGAAATGTGGCTGAACTTGGTGCCACATGTCACCATCTGGTGGCAAGCCTTGGGGAGAAAGCAATGGCCAAGATTGTGCCACATCACCCATTTTCGCACAGCACACTTCCGACTTCTAAAATCCGTAACTTTCACATACGACCTCCGTTTTTGACGTTCTTTATATCCACGCGTAGGTAATAATAAGATCTACAACTTTCATTTTGACACCGTCAGCTAATTCTCGACCGATCTTAAATTTAACAGTACAAGGAGATTATACTGTTAAACGTCTGCGTAAAATTAATAACTTCTACATACGGACTCTGTTTTTGTCTGTCTTTTTACCGTTGATTTCCTATTAATGAGATCTTCAACTCTCATTTACGTTGCGTAAGCCAAAAACCGCTCGAACTAAAATTCGAGTTTCAGCCGTGCACTGCTAAGCCGAATCTTAGAAAAATCATAACTTCTTCATACGAAGTCAGATTTGGGCGTTCTTTTTATCGATGTTCTTAGTTTAACATATTCTACGACTTTTGTTTAGATTGCTAAGGCTAAAAAGTCTTCTATCGTAAATTCACTATTTACGTCCCGGTGTCGTGCCGGTTTTGCCGTAAAACTTCGGCGGGCCATAACTTCTTCGTTATAGCTCGGATTTCGGCATTCTTTATATGTACGGAAACCTTGAGACATATTCTACAACTTTATGTAGAGATATCGGGATTATCTCACACTTTAATTTTGACGCTCATTTTTATTCTTTATTAATATATAATTTAACACATAATTCACATAATACTCAAATATTTCATATTTATTACTTCAAAAAGAGTTACAATAGTTGACCTAGACTATTACATTGACAAAAATGCTTAGTCCTGAAAACCTGGGCGTTACACTTACAGTTTCAGTTTTGGTTTCAGGTACTTCAGCTAGCAAAGGGAAGGGCTCGAGCTGATGGCATGGCACACACCATAATTAATTAGCCTAGGAGTTTAATATGATATTTTATGAGACAGTTATTTATTGACAGATTTTATGAGATTCGAAATATATGTCTGATGATTTTTTTTATGATAATGAGATTATGATTATCAAATGATTAAAAAAAAATTTGGCTTGTATTTTTGGGATGTTTCACTACCGTAACCAGATAATCTCACATGTAGTCACACCTATAGCACAATACTCAACCTCTGTGGAAGATCTAGAGACTGATACCACCATGCTTTAAAAACCCAATACCACCATGGTCATCACCAGTAATGATCATGTCATCTATATATATAAGGACAAAAGAATCCATCCTGCACTTGAGCATCTAACAAACAAAGCTGAATCATGATTACTCTGGACAAATACAAGATAGTTAATCACTATAGAGAATTTCTCAAACAAAGCACCTCACCCGTCTGATGTTGAATTCATGGGGGGGGGGGGAGGGGAGACATATAAACCTATTTATGAAGGTCACCATTCAAAAAGCATTATTGATATACATTTGAAAGATCTCCCATTGTCGAATAAATGCAACTGCAATCATAGTATGGACTATCATCATCTTTGCAACTAGGGCAAATGTCTCCTTATAGTCAAAATTGTACTGTTAGGAATACCCTTTTGCTACAAGTCTGGCCTTGTACCATTCAACATAACCATCAACTTGTGTTTTTATCTTGTACACCAACGATAACCAATTGTATGTTTCCTAGGAGGAAGAGAAACCAAACCCCATGTATGAGTTTGGTGAAGAGCAGTGAGTTACTCAGCCATAAAATTCTACCAAATAGGATCTAATACATCTTCTCTATACATTCAGGTTTAGATAGATGGATGCTCGCTATAAATGAAACAAATGGTCCTGAGTATGTAGAGTAAGAAAAATCTGGAAGTTTTGTGGATTTGATAGGATAACCTCCTGAGGCGTGGTGGAGGTGGGTTATCAATCTCAGCTGTCAAAGGGGCGGACTCAAGAATAAGAGGACCCGAGGAACTCTCTAAATAAGTGGGCATGTCATGAACTGGAGGATCAAGAGGCATAGATGATTCTCGAGCAATTCCAATTTGGCACAACATTAAAAAAAAAAACTCAATTCCAATTTGGCTCCAATCCTAGAACAAAAAAAGTATGAAATTTGAAATGTTTGAACATTACTTATTGAGCAGAATAACACGTAGTAATTTTACTAAAATATTAAAATAAGACTTAACTATATAAGTTAACATATAATAGTCATCTAATATTCAATATAATCTTGATCAATAAGATAATACAATTGATTAAATTACAGTGACAATAATAACCAAATTAAATTGTCTGTGTTACTGTGTATTTGGTTTGTGATAATCAAAGTAACTTTTAATAAGAAGAATCATATTGAATGGCATGACTATCAAATAAAAATTAGTGCTTTCTGGTACATAAGTCCAATCGGGTGAAACTAATTCACCAAAAACTATTATTAAGTATAATTTTTTTACTTTAGTTAACGATATAACTATGATTTGTTACTGTAAGAATAAGAAGAATGTGGAGAAAAAGAATAGCATATTACAACAGCCAAAGTCATTGCTCTTGGAGGTACACTGAAGGCTTATTGTGAATGGAAGAAAAAGCTACATCAATGCTTTTGTTAATTCCTGACTTATTTTGTCTTGCATTTAAAGGATTGTTTTGTATTTTGTAGTGTTGGGTAAAAATGCTGAAAGTAGTCAAAGTAGTAATTGATCATTCATTCTCAAAGATTTTGAAGACCCTCAATAGTTATAATTAATTAGCTCAAATCGATTTCCTAGAGTAATACTTTCTCTTGGTTGATTATGTTGCCAAAAAGAAGGGCAAAAAAGGAAGAGCATATATGGTGCTTATTAACGACTAAAATAAGGAATGTGGTGAGATACAAAAGGGAAGACGACGAGACTGAACAACGATGATCGTGGGGAAGAAGCGAAAAGCATGCACTGTGAAGATTTCCTATGTTTTAGGAGTAAAGGGAAAAACCATCCATTGTTTTCAATTTTAAAGATTATTAAATATTAAAAAAACATTAAAAAAAATAGGTTTGGGCAAATCCGATATTTGAAGAGATTAACAAAGGAAAACATGATATTTAAAGTTTAGCTTGGGCAAATACGATATTTAGACGTTTAACAAGAGCACATACGAAATTCTCCCATTAATGAATAGTAGTGAATTATGTCATTTACTAGTTTATGAATTTTGAAATTAGAAGGAAAGTTTACATTAATGAAATTGATATCCATTTATTATGATATATATTACAATTTTTACATATCAATATATTATGTGAAGTTTAATAAAAATGAAGAAACCATAAAATCCGATGTGGAAAAAATAATTTAAAATAACCACAAAATGACATGTGAAAAAATAAATAAATGAGAGTATCACATGTAGCAAAAAAGATCCTTATTTATTAGAGTTAATGCATATGGAAATATCATTTTATCAAGAATTTAAGAAAAGTACTTGTTACCACTGATCATTTAACAAAAAAATAATGCTAAAAAAAATATTGAGAGCATGAACTATAGTCGTTTACTTGATGATGTTAGCCTAAGTATCAGGTCAACAATACAATCTTGATTGATGAATCAGGTTCAATGGTAATTGTCGATGTAAGGCCAACTTCCTCATCCCAAAATTCTGAGTTTCCTGTTTCTTCTTTTGTTGTTTGCACCAGATCATCTATATTTTTCCTAGGAATGAGTTTAGCTCCTATTCTATTTCTAGTTGTCTCTATAAGATTGAAATCAAATTGATCTACCGAAATCGTGATCACATTGTAAGTTGAATTCAAGGATATAATGTGCCTCAATGAACTAAAGGAAACATATCCTACATGTGTCACATATTCTGGGTCCAGTTCTTCATTGGATTCCTGCTCCAGTTCTTTGTCAGAACCATACCCTAGTTCTTCATCAAAATCCTGTCAAAGCTCAAATGGAGGAACTTCATCTACCCCGTGCTTGATGATTATAGAAAGAAATGGAATTACGTTGAAGGTAACAACGCGTATTAAGAACCCACAAAAGTTATTGTACTAATCATGTGGAAGACATAATGTAAATGAGTTCCCTCTAAACAGCCTATCTACAGACCCCACTAGAATCTCAGGATGAAGAGTAACATTGATAAGGTGATCTTCAATAGCATTTCCCTACCATGGGAAACACATCATGTTATGATTCTTATTAGGCGCATTCCGCAACATAAAACTATACGTTAAACTTTTGGCATATACATGTTATTGAAAATAATTATGGTATTACATTAACTATGAAATAATAGTTCTTACATTAAGTTTATATATAAAAAATTAATTAATTAGAACAATATTATAAGATAATCATACCTTAAAATTACATCACTCAATGGCCTCGTGTGACTTGTTTGTAAAGTAACAAAACATAATTTATAATTTGTGTTATTTTTAACTTATTATTTTTAATTGATATAAAGCACATTTTAGAAAAATTTCAATTATTACAAAAAAGAAACTGGATATTTTTTTAGTTAATTTAATATTTCAATGTATGTTTTACATTTTATTTATTTAAATATTTTTAACTATTTTGAAAATAATTTTTTTGAACAATTTGTTTTTAAGCCTGTTTGATATTTTAGATTATGTTTTGCATATAATACCATACTTAATTTGACAAATTCAAAATACTATAATACTAATTCAAAATGTTAATTTAGATTTTGCATTTAATATCATATTTAATTTGAGATATAAAAAAATTATATTAATAATTTATAAAGTTTACAACTAAAATGATAATTTTATATTTAGTAAATTAAAAAAAGTTAGAAGTTGAAAATTTACGGATGTTCAATTTAATAGGGTGATAGTCATTGGAGACCATTCTAATTTTGTGAGACCGTAAGACTAAATCTAAAAATAATTTTCAAATGCAAAATAAATGGAAAAATCCAAATTTTTTTTTTTAAATATTATTTTTGGAACTTGAATTAACTAAAAAAAATAATAATAAGGAAAATAAAAAAAATCCCGTTTATTTTATTTTATTTTTTCTTTAAAAAAATACGTGAAATATTCTAATAGAATATTACACTGTACATATTCTTAAAAATAATTTTAAAATACAAAATAAATGGAAAAATCTAAAAACTCTTTTTTTAAATATTATTTTCGGAACTTGAATTAACTAAAAAAAAATTCTATTTTTTTTGAAAAATACGTGAAATATTCTAATAGAATATTACACTGTACATATTCTAAAAAATAATTTTAAAATGCAAAAAAATTGGAAAAATAAAAAAAATTTAATATTATTTTCGGAACTTGAATTAACTAAAAAAAATTATAAAAAAATAAAAAGTAAAAAAATAAAAAAATACGTCTCACGTTCTCACAAAATTAGGCCGTCTCACATGAACATATATATATATATATATATATATATATATATATATATATATATATATATATATAAGTTTAAATATGATCATTAACTTTTTTATGATCAATAGGATAAGTTTTTTAACCCTTATTTTTGAGGTTATTTTTTATCAAAAAAAAATCTAAAAATATATAAATTCATGATTTTTCAACCTCTTACCATATTGATTATATGATAAATATTACTCTATTGTAATATCATAGACCCTCAAATCTTAACCACTGATTCTACTCATCCGTTGGTCTAGAATTGCCCTTATGGGCACACAATAAACGTAAGAAACACACGAACCTAGCCATATATATATATATATATATATATATATATATATATATATATATATTATATATATATATATATATATATATATATATATACACACACACACACACATACAGAGAGAGAGAGAAGTAGGAATAGTTAGGAGCTCAAAAAATGGTAGGCACCGCGAGGACAATTTTTGACCTCAAGATTGAAAAAATAAATGTGTAAGATTTGATTTTATTTATCGTTAAAATCTTGCGAGATGATGACATTTTTGTACTGTGATATTTTGATAATTTCAGAAGAATGTTACTTGTTTGGATGGTATAAGTGGAAGAGTAAAAAGATTAAAAGAAAAAAGAAAAAAAAAATCGGGCCATGTGGCCTCTCTAGACATTGACACGTGCCCCCACCAAGCATTACAAATGTCAAACCCTTATTGGCCGATATATTTTTTTCCCACTTGCTTAGTTTTTTGGTCATAACTTTTTTTTCCGTTGAAAAAAAATACTAAAAAAACTAAAGTTCTTAATATTTAATTCTCTACAAAATGAACACAATCATGAAAATTTGTTTTTTTATATTTAAAAAAAACCTAGAAAAAAAATTCTTCAAAAGTTATAAAAATTTAAAAAATATTTCTATTCACTATTCTAATGACTTTGTAAAAATAATTTGTTTTTTTTTAAATAAAGTGTTTTAAATACCAAATTTGATTTTAAAAGACTAAAAGTGTTTTAAAATAATGTTGAACATAATATGACTCAAATAGAATGATTCAAAATATTTATGATTTAATATGTTTATGATCCTTAACTTGTAATGATCTAAAAATATTTAATGATCCTTAATTATTTTATTTTTTATGATTTAAAATTAAATGATTCAAAAATATAATGATCTAAATGTTGTATTGAACAATAAGTTTATTTAATTCAATATATTATGATCTAAATTAATATTATCCAAATTAGTATGATCCAAAAATATATGATACATAGTATCGATATAATTCAAAACATTATGATTTAAAATAAATTGATTCAAAACATTATCAAGTAAGTTTGACGTTATAATTATAGAAAATAATATCCACGATTCCTACCAATTTTTATCGATATACCAAAAGTGGATAGAGACAAACCTTAAGCACATAATCTAGCAACATGGAACCAGCAGCTAAACCTACTTCGTGGGCCCCAAAAAGCGAGACTTTCCACAACCATTTACAGTTATAAGTATCTCCAAAAGTTTTAAGTGACTTGCAATCATTTGCTTTAAGAACAGCTATGCTTGATGGGAGCTCTGATAATTTTACAAGGCATGTGCAAGATGACACATCGAGAAATTTGAGCCGAGGAATTCGCATGAGACCAAAACTTAAGCATGAAAAGTAATTTCCTCCTAGATCGAGTTCTTTCAAGTTGGGTAACTCCCAAACAGCAGAGCTCATGTTTTCATCCCCCAGTTAACAGAAACCGAGATCCAACTTTCTCAAGTACTCTCTGCGAAAAAAACGAAAATAACGAAAATAACGTAACTGTATGTTGTTCAAGTCGGATAACTCCCTAACAGCAGAGCTCATGTCTTCATCTCCCAAACTGTCCATCTTCCGTTGGATCTTTGAAAGCTTAAAAACTCTAGGGCACTCTGCGAATGAAAGGGTCTCGATTTTCTTAAATCGGCTAATAGATGGAAACTTCTTAATACCCTTGCAGTCTATTATCGATAAGCAAACAAGCTTGTCCAGGCGTCCAAATGATGAATGAATCTCTTTTAGTTTCGGACATCCATGAAGCTTGAATCTTTCCAGAAGTGGAATTCCATCAAAATTTGGTGTCATGACCAGGTTTTTCAATTGCCAAAGTTTAATCATCTTCAAATTTGGCAGATACTGTTGTATACAAGTGTAAATAATTAAGTAAATAATGTACTAAGGTACGTGATAAGAGCTTAACAAAATCCGAATGGAAATCATTTGAAGTGTTTGACTGTTTAATTTAATATGTAAAAATCACTTAATAAAACAAAGAACATACTTTTAAACTCAAACTGACGGATATATCGATTTAATAAACAAAAATATAGAATTTAAATTGAAATCTTACCTATATATAACAAAATAGTATTTATTTTCAAAATACAAAAGCAATTGTGTATGTATGTTTAGACAAACGATAAAAGGTGACAAAGGTATGTTTAGACAAAAGGGTACTCATGTATCCATTTAACTAAAAATTTACTCTGATGGATTACAGTCTATAATTAATTCACTATCTACTTTGTTTTCATTTGTGATTTGGATAAACAATAAGAATTACCTTATAACCATTCCAAAGTTGGTCTTGGATGGCATATTCTAATACCAGACAACAAAGCCCCCTTGGTGGAAAGTTATTACCCGACGGATTTGCAGGATCACCTTTCCATTGAATATAACGAAGGTTTCTCATGTTTGCAAGAATAGGAGGAGGTTTTGCCTCTCGAAAGCTACTATAATCAGCTTTTATTGCTTCAATCATGTCAAGTTCCTGTGAAGAGGAACAAAATGGTGCCATTAATTTTGAGCTAAAAGTGATTGTTCATACATATATCACACAAAGATAAATTAACTGTTACCATCGTAGCATCCATAGCACATATTGTTAGAACATCTTCCTTCTTCCAAACTCTACTATGTTTTTCGGGATTCCTAGGGTGTTCCTCTCTAACAATGTAGTGTCCCATTTCTTGCAACAGATCATGCATATCAAACCTTCCATCCAAAATAGTTATGAGAGCCTTTTGTCTCAACTCCTCTACTCCTATTACAGGATGAAAACCATTAGCATCAAGCATCTCCATTGCCGTATCTTTCTCCACCCACCTAAAAAAACATGCAATATCAAGAAACAAGTCTTTCTGAACTTTTGTAAGTCCATTAAAGCTGATTTTTAGCTTTTCCAGAATCTTATTATCTGGGATCTTTTTTAGTCTTGCTAATGCACTCCTCCACTGATCAATATTTTTGTCACAAAGAGAAGAACCGAGAATTGTAAGTGCAAATGGAAGCCCACCGGCATAAGAGACCACCTCTTTTGAAAGTTGCTCATAATCTTCCATAGGCATGGAACCCCGGAATGCATACTTGTGAAAGAGCTGAATAGCCTCGTCAACATTTAACAAGCTAATATCATGTACCACAACTTCATGAACTTTTAATAAATGCTCATCTCTGGTTGTGATTATTATTCGACTTCCTTCACCAAACCAATCAGGTGATCCAGCTAACGCTTCTAGTTGGTCAAGGTGATTGACATCATCAAGAACAATCAAGACCTTTCTATTACGAAACCTCTTATCTATCAAGCTTCTTCCTCCTCCAATGCTCTTCCCTTCCATCTTCTTAAGAATTTGTTTTTGCAATTCTTCCAAACCATGCCTGCTTGATTCCTCTCGAATATTTGCAACAAAGCAGCAACCATCAAACATTCTATGGATTTCATCATATATAGAAGATGCAAGAGTAGTCTTACCGCCACCTCCACCCCCCCATATTCCAATCATGTTCACACCACCCAACCCAATTTGTAATGCTGATTTTAAACGTTGCACGCGAGTCACTATTCCGATCAGCTTCTCATTTACACTTGAATTTACTAGTTGCAACCTTGATGAAATATTGTCAACAATTTCTTTGATAGCCGCTGATTCATACCTACATATTGGGTATACAGGAATAATTAAGACATGATCACATTGACAAAGGAGAGAATTCGTTGTCATGCTTTAATTATGAAAAAAGGAGGAGACATAACCACGTACCCATTATACTTCAGATTTAATATAAAATTGTAAAGTTAATATACCTACTTAGTTTGTAACAATATTTTTGGGAAATGTTGAATAGTTTCAAACAGAAAAAGGTGAAGAAAGATGAATTTGATGTTGTAGCTTCAAACATGGCGTTATGTAGAGAATTAAAGGTAAAACTCAACGTCATAACTTAATCTGAGCTTATCCATAATATGAGGACTTGAGATATTTTTTAATTAACCAAACTGACCAACTGATCAAGTAAAAGCCTCTGTTTAATCAAGGTTATCAACATCAACAAGAATACTTAAAACATTTGTATAAGATCTTATAAGGTACAAGGATAACTGTCTCGTAGATCAAACATATCTTAAGCATAAAAAGTGAAAATAATAATAATAATAATAATAATAATAATAATAATAATAATAATAATAACAATAATAATAAAAGATACCTGTTGGCAATGTTTTTAGGAACCCATCCAGAGAGGTTGCTTGCATCTACAAGTGCTTTTCTCCAAGATTCAACCTTTTTTTTGTTCTTCAGCTCATGTTTGGCAAATGCCTGTCCGTATTTCCGTTTTTGTATTCGCACTTCAGACGGATCCACATCATAAAATATGGGGATCACAATTTGCCCTCTCATGTCCTTGCATTTCATAATATGTGTAAGTTCATCTAAGCACCACGGTGAATCTGCATAGTTTTTAGAAAATACAATGACGCCAATATGCGATTCCTCAATAGCCTTCACAAGGGATGGATGTTGAAGGTCATCACTAGCCCAATAGAATCATGTTATTGTCTAGAAGAAGTTAGCATGTTCTAGAATGATCTGGAAGATTCTAGAACATTATGGAATACTATGGAGGAGTGTTGAAGATGCTGGAAGATTCTAGAATACTCTAGAATGAGATGGAAGACCCTGGAAGGCTATGGAACATTCTAGAACACTATGGAAGACACAAGAATGTCTATACTTATCTAGGACATTATAGAACATTCTAGAAACATATAAAAGCTTGTAATAGATATAGAATATGGTAGATAGTTCTAGAATAGCCATGAATGTATGTAGATCTAGAAACTTCCTATAAGGAGGTGGAAACACCTATAAATAGGTGTGGAGCTCATTTGCTCCAAACAATCCAACATCCAAGTATCCAAGAAAGCCTCAAAGAAAGCAAAGTGTGTAGTAGTCTCATAAAGTGTAAGTTCTCCTTAAGTGTCTTAATAAAAGTCTTGTTGTTTCCCATATAAAAGAGTCGTGTTCAACAATCTGGTATCAGAGCAAGGTTTCTTGATAGTGAGAACGAGTGATTCTTGTTGTATCGTGAGTAGTTTGTGACTCTGCAAGTTTAGTGTCGAAACTAGCTTGTTTGGTATTACCGAGGTACTGCCAACACGATGGGTGATCTCCAAGTCGTCAGAGGAATCAAGAAACTCAACAACAGCAACTACAAAACGTGGGAAACATGTATGAAGTCCTACTTACAAGGACAAGATCTATGGGAGGTTGTTGGTGGAAGCGAAACTACGCCACCAGAGGAAGACGTTAATGGTGCTTTCCGCAAATGGAAAATCAAAGCAGGCAAAGCAATGTTTTCCTTGAAGACCACAATCGAAGAAGAGATGTTGGAGCATATTCAGGATGAGAACACCCCAAAAGAAGCTTGGGACACGTTTGTGACGCTTTTCTCAAAGAAGAATGATACGAGACTACAACTTTTGGAGAACGAGCTATTATCAATCTCACAACGTGACATGACGATTGCTCAATATTTCCACAAGGTCTAGTCGATATGTCGGGAGATTACTGAACTAGATCCACAATTCGTCATTGCAGAAGCTCGAATGAAGAGGATCATTATCCATGGACTGAGGTCGGAATATTGAAGCTTTGTTACTGCTGTACAAGGATGGCCCGTTCAACCATAACTTGTAGAGTTTGAGAATTCGTTGGCCAACCAAGAAGCTATGGCTAAGCAAATGGGAGGCATCACGCTGAAGAGTGAAGAAGAAGCACTCTACACAAGTAAAAATCGGAGGAATTTCAAGCCACCGTCTAAAGAAGAATACAAAAATGCTGACAAAGGGAAGAGTCAGCCAGGAACCTCACAACAATGGAGATCTCAAAAGACCGACAATAAGAGTTCTCGGGGGAGGAGGTTCAAAGGCAACTGCAACAATTGTGGAAAGTGGGGCCACATGTCCAAGGATTGTTGGTCAAAGAAAAAGTCTTTGGAAAGCAATGTAGTAACTTCCAAAAAGGAAGTAGAGGATGAATGGGATGCTGAGGCACTATGTGCTATAGAAGAGAATAAGACTAAAAGAGGAAGGCTAATGTTCGTGGATGCCAGGGTAAATGGAGGATACACCAAGGCTTTAGTAGATACAGGTTCATCCCATAATTTCCTTGCTAAAGATGAAGCTAAAAAGTTGGGCATCAAATACACCAAAAATCCAGGCCGGTTGAAAGTCATCAACTCTTTATCCAAGCCTATCATTGGTGTTGCATATAGAGTACCTCTTAAGATAGCAGAATGGGAAGGCACCATAGACTTAACAGTGGTGAATATGGATGACTATCATATGCTATTGGGAATGGATTTTCTAGACAATGTACGACCATGGTCATTTGAGAGAGATGATACCATGCGTATCACCAAGGGTTCAATAATTCACATTGTACCCTTGAAGAGAAATAGGATTGGATCCCAAATCCTATCAACTATGCAACTCAACAAAGGTCTCAAGAAGAGTGAGGCAAAGTTTATGATAGCCTTGAAGGAGGAAATTGTTCCCTCAAAGATGGACATTCCGAAGGAGAAGAAGAACATAATGTCACTAGGGTTACATAAAAACTCGCATCTTAGAAGAAAAGTGGAACATGTGATGGAGAAACCGGATAAGGCGAATAAGAAGAAAAACACATTAATTCGTAAGAGCAAAGTAAAATCTCTCAACCAAGCAACATCTAAACGAGATGATCAGATCAATAAGGGATCACGTCATAACATGTTACAGGAATTTTCCAGGGCTTGTAAAAGGGACACCCCACATGCTTACAAGTTCTCCAACGGGAGGCATAAGAAACTATATAAGAGAGTTCAACGGGGTCACGAACAATATTATGGTGCAACAAAAGGCAACCACAAATGTCGTTGTCAACTATCGAAACAATATACGAAGCAACAACTGCAACAACTAAGGAAAAACAAAACATGTGGAAGAGAAAAAGTTCTCAAGGAAGAAGTCAATATGAAACATATCAAGACTAATGACCAAGTAGCAAATGGAGTTCATAAAGGGTTAAGTACTAACAAATATGAGGGCTTTAATTATCAGCTCAACATGGTACAACGAATAGGGGCTAGTGCTGAGGGGGAGTGTTGAAGGTCGTCACTAGCCCAATAGAATCATGTTATTGTCTAGAAGAAGTTAGCATGTTCTAGAATGATCTGGAAGATTCTAGAACATTATGGAATACTATGGAGGAGTGTTGAAGATGCTGGAAGATTCTAGAATACTCTAGAATGAGATGGAAGACCCTGGAAGGCTATGGAACATTTTAGAACACTATGGAAGACACAAGAATGTCTATACTTATCTAGGACATTATAGAACATTCTAGAAACATATAAAAGCTTGTAATAGATATAGAATATGGTAGATAGTTCTAGAATAGCCATGAATGTATGTAGATCTAGAAACTTCCTATAAGGAGGTGGAAACACCTATAAATAGGTGTGGAGCTCATTTGCTCCAAACAATCCAACATCCAAGTATCCAAGAAAGCCTCAAAGAAAGCAAAGTGTGTAGTAGTCTCATAAAGTGTAAGTTCTCCTTAAGTGTCTTAATAAAAGTCTTGTTGTTTCCCATATAAAAGAGTCGTGTTCAACAATGGACAGATCGATGATGATGCGTTTCTTCGTCCTTGTAAGTGTCGATTCCTTGTTGTACAAGAGCTTTATAGAGATAATCGACAAAAGTCTTCCGAGTATCTTTTCCTCTAAAGTTAAGGAAAACGTCATGATTCCATGGCTGAGAGGAAATGGCTGGAGCCCGTGGAGAAGATGATGATGATGAAGATGCCATTGATCAGTTGATAATTTGTTGAGATAGAAAGGTATGTGATGTGGTGTCACCACCTCAATGAAATGAACTATATAGAAAAGAGAGAAATGTGAGTTTCTAAGAAAATTTCAATTTACCAGAAGCTCACGATATATCTAAGTAATGACATGTTGATTAGTTGACATATATATATATATATATATATATATATTATATATATATATACAGTGTTGTAAACTCGCCGAGTTGACCGATTACTCCTCCGAGTACTCGCTACTCGGCCCCTTGCCGAGGTGAGTTAGAAAATCCCGAGTACTTCCCGATCGACCCCTTACTGAATTGAGCAGTGTTGTAAAACTCGGTCAACTCGGTGATTAATATGTATGGTATACTTAATGATTTATTATTTAACATACACACATGTGATTATTATTACATATATATCTTAAATTTTCAGTAATTATTCACGAAGTGTGACCATTATTTGTTTTTTTAGTTTTTTTGTATTCACATGTATCTAATTTTGTTATATATTTCAATAAACTTATGATATTAACTTATGATTTTGACATATATAGTTTCCCTAAAAATATTACTACATGAATTACCAAATCTGCGTACTCCCCGAGTACTCCTGAGTACTCCCAAGTACTCGCTACTCGGTAGTTGGCCGAGCAGGTACCGAGTAACGAGTTTTACAACCTATATATATATATATATATATATATATATATATATATATATATATATATATATATATATATATATATATATATATATATATATATATTAAGAGGTGATTTTCCAAGAAATTAATTTCCAATTTACCAACAGCTAAATTTAATATGATTTTTATTGCAACAAATGACAACTGTTGAATTATTTCAACCAATATACACAAACAAATGTGATTTCTAAGAAATTTCCGGTTCACCAAAATCTAAAGAAATATCCACTTGACATTTTCAATATATTTAAATTACGATAATGAATGATTTTTTAATTGCAAAAATCGGATTACTCTCAAGAACATCATCCATTATGCTCTCAAAAAATTTCGAGTTCTTCACTACAAAAATCGGATTCGAGGCTTCTTGGTAATTTCTATGTTAAACTCAAAGTATTTTATTTCATGTTTAGCCTAAGATCCTTCCACTTACACCCTCATTTTTGTGTATATGACCCTTAGAACATCCACATTTCGAGAATCTCTCCAAGACACAAAGCTAGGCTCGAAATTTGCTTCTTCTTTTTCCTTCCACATGAAACTCTTCAAGGTGAGATTCATAACCCACAATTTTTCGTGTTTTTTATACTTTTGGGGGGAATACAAGTCAAATCTCGTTTAACCAATGGATAATTGCATGTACCGGGGTGTAATGTTTTCAACCTTTGAGTATTTGCATGAACATGGAGTTTATCTTATACAACTTCATAAAAATCCTGAGAAATGTGTTTGTTAACATATATATTGCATGAAAACTTATGGATAAGAGTTATAGCCTCAAAAAATAGCAAAAATGTGTGTTGGTTTCAAACATATATAACTTAAACTTAAACATCAGCTTTCAACAGAAAAGTTAT